CCCTTTTCCCCTTTCACTCCGCCCCACCCTGCACACCCCCTCCCACCCACATTCCCCCCCTTTAGTTCATGTCCATGTGTCTCGAGTTCTTTAGCTTCTACATTTCCCACACTATTCTTGCCTTCCCCCTGTCAATTTTCTACCTACCGTCTATGCTACTTTTTCTCCGTACCTTCTCCCCCCTTCTCCTTCTCCCACTCCCCTGTTGCTAACCCTCTATGTGATCTCCATTTCTACGGTTCTGCTCCTGATCTAGCTGTCCCTCTTAGTTTGCTTTTGTTTTAGATGTGGTCGTTAATAACTGTGAGTTTGCTGTCCTTTCACTGTTCATCTTTTTAATTTTCTTTTTCTTACATAAGTCCCTTTAACATTTCCTATAATAAGGGCTTGGTGATGATGAACTCCTTGAATTTGACCTTATCTGAGAAGCACTTTATCTGCCCTTCCATTCTAAATGAAAGCTTTGCTGGATAGAGCAATCTTGGTTGTAGGTCTTTGGTTTTCATGACTTGGAATACTTCTTTCCAGCCCCTTCTTGCCTGTAAGGTCTCTTTTGAGAAATCCGCTGACAGTCTGATGGGATCTCCTTTGTAGGTGACTGTCCCCTTAGCTCTTGCTGCTTCTAAGATTCTCTCCTTCATTTTAATCTTGGCTAATGTAATGATGATGTGTCTTGGTGTGTTCCTTCTTGGGTCCAACTTCTTTGGGACTCTCTGAGCTTCCTGGATTTCCTGGAACTCTATTTCCTTTGCCAGACTGGGGGAGTTCTCCATTATTTGTTCAAATAAGTTTTTCACTCGTGGCTGTTCCTCTTTTCCCTTCTGGTACCCCTATAATTCGGATGTTGGAACGTTTAAAGATGTCCTGAAGGTTCCTAAGCCTGTCCTCATTTTTTTGAATTCTTGTTTCTTCATTCTTTTCTGTTTGGTCATTTTTTTCCCTCCTTCTGGTCCACTCCTTTGATTTGAGTCTCATTTTCCTTTTCATCCCTATTGGTTTCCTGTGTATTTCCCTTCATTTCAATTAGTTTAGCCTTCATATGTTTCTCTAATTTGTGACTAAAATCAACCAGTTCTGTGAGAATCCTGATCACCAGTGTTTTGAACTGTGCATCTGAAAGTTTGGCTATTTCTTCATCGCTTAGATTTATCGGCTCAGGGGCTCTGAGTTATTCTTAAGTCATGTTTTGATCTGTTTGTGCCTGTTAAGTATGAGGAGCAGAGCCTTAGTTGTTCACTAGGGCGGGGCCACCCAGGTCGCTGGTTTGTGACGCTGTATGTGGGGGCAGGGTCAGAGAGGGAGCAATGGCAGTTCCCTCTGCCGCTTGCTGCCACTGGGGCCTGCGCGGTCCATCTCAGTGCTAGCTCCTTCGCTGGTTTATCTGCGCATGAATGTGTGACCGTGATCAGCCCTCAGTGGGTCCGCCTGCTTCTCCACACCTGGGATCCGCCCACAGCTGCCGGCGCAGCTAGATCATGCGCCCCAGTCGGTCTGGTGGATCTTTCCTGCCCGACCCCGCTGTGCTGCTGGCTCTGCCCCTCTTACCGGTTTGGCTAAAGGGTTTGTTATTGTCAGACCTCCGTGAAGTTCAATTTTCTGTGGTTTGGCTGCATTTTTGTTGCTAAAACTTTGTTGTTTTTAAACTTGGTTGTGCGAGAAGGTGCAGCACTTCCACCTACGCCTCCATCTTGGTGGAAGTCCGGAAACGCCATTCTTGTCCAACAAGGGGGGGTTGGTGAAACCAACCCAGCCCAGGGTGTGGGACCCAGTGTAACTGCGGAAACTGAAGGAAGGTGTTTAAGGCATTTGGAAGGGAAAGAGGCTGCTGAGGAAGTCAGACGGGGCTCGGTACCATTTGTAAAGGGAAGGCGTGTGGGTGTGTCCCTGTGTGTGGTGAACAGAAAGCTCTAACTGGCTGTGTTAATTAGTGTGCCTTCTGGATTATGGAATAATGGGTGGTTTTAGTTTCTTTATTTCCCAAACTCACTTTTTAAAAACAATAACTGCATAGAATCAGGAAAAAAAATAATGTTCCTATCAAGTATGAGAGTCTGCAAAAGAAGATCTTAAAGTGCAAATTTCGCAATGTTACACCAGTTTTCTCCAGGTGATGAGATTAACAATCTTCTAATGTAAAGAATTATTGTTTAAAAAGCTTTTTTTAGTAACTTTTAAGAAGCCTGATATTTGAAGACAGCATCTATGGGTAACATACCTCCCCAAGGGTGGCTCTGAGGCGTTGGGTCAGGAACTTTCCAGGGCAGTGAGGACCAGGGCCAGACCAGGCCAGGGGCCAGACCAGCGACAGACAGAGAAGGGTCTTGGTGTCATGACAAATCTGCTAAATTTCAGAAAGGCCTACTTGGCCCCAGCTTGGAAGGCAGTGAGCTGGTCTGGGTTCGTGGCTGACCATCTGGCAAGTGACCCCCTCAACAGCCCAGCTAATGGTCCCCAAGCCAGCCCACAGTTCCCTTACCTGGGTGGCAATCAGAACATAAACCAGGTGGGACTGGCCACAGCTGCAGTGGCCACTATAGTCACAGATGTGTGATGGAGGCAGGCGGCCATGCCGTCCTGTTGCCTCAGCCACTGATGTCCTTTTTGCCCAAGGACTATTGACCTGCCCATCCACATCACTCACAGCGTCATGTGGAGGAATTGAGGAGCCAGCAGGTGCAGCTTAGCATGGCCTTGGATGCACACCAGGTGTCATGGGGACAGGACAGGGATTTCAGCTGCCTGTCAAGGTCGAAACTCAGAATTCAGATGTCAGGGTGCACTCCCTTCTTGGAGCCTCCTCTTCAAAACAAGGATGGTGGTGGCCAGCCACTGACTGGTGGGCAGGAGGGGTGTGTAAACACCCAGCTCCCTGCACAAGGTGGTGTGAGACCATGGGAACTGTGTGAGCAAAGCTAAAACAAAAGGGCCTGTTTATGACTTAGCTTTGAGAGCCACACACCATTTTTGCAACACAGATCAGCCCGGTTGTATGAAGGAGGGGACTGTACAAGGTCGGGGTGACAGCATGTGAATTTGGGGGACACCTTGGAGGCTGACAGCTGCACTAAGAATGTGTTTTGCTGCTGAAAGGGAACAGACCTGTCTACTCATCTTGAATTGCTAAACCTTCTGGGAGAGCTCCAGGGTCTGTCTTGGTAGGGGGGGTGGTGAGCATCACCTGGCAGTCTGTGGGTTCCCCTCCTCATTGTATTCAGTGCCAGCCCCTCTGCCAGGATTACACCAGGACTCTGCCCCTTTCCCATGGCCCGTGCTGAAAGCCACAGAATGCCGAGATCCTGGTGTTCTCTCTGGGCTGTGGTGGTGGGGGAAGAAACAGGGAAGGGAAACAAAACACAAGACACGTACTCCTTTAAAAAGGTAAAAAATAATAGTGAAAATTTATTATTGCAATCCACATAGTTTATATAGACTCTTCTTCACAAGCCTGGCACTGGGAGGAGAAAAAGGTCATTGTTCCAAGTCATGGGGGTAGGTGTCCCCCTTTGGTGAACCCACCCCAGCAGGAACAGGGTGGGTCATGCTTAGGTCTCCCTTATCCAGGAGAGATTCTGATGAGGTCCTCACTAATTGTTCACCATCTCTCTGTATTGAACTCAGCTCTGGTTCTAAGAAAAGTACCTTTGGGAGTTGTTGGCACCCTTGCTTCTGCAGATGTAGATGTTTACCCTGTTCTCACCCTGAGTCTTGCTGGACTCCTATTGGGAGTCCATGGGAACTTCGTGCTCTTGGACTATTGTGGACATTATCTGTGAATAAGTGGCCAGGAATGACCAATATTGTAAATGTCCATTATCCTAACAGACTCCACAAACAAGTTTAAAGATCCATAAGTAAAATGTTGAGATGGTGTCAGTGGTGTATGAAGCTCTGTGGGGCCCAAGTACAAGGAGAGGGCATTACATAAGCTACTGTGTCATGGGCTTCATGAATGCCACATGCAGACCGGGTACGCCTGTCACAGGAGAAACTCGGTCCTTCTTGCCAATGCAGTAAAGGATTACAGATCAGCAAGTGTATTCGTGTGCAAGCAGGGTTTTAGTGACATGTTCTCACGGAAGAGGACAGGTGAACATCCCTTGTCCTCTTACATAAGGGAGGCACAGAGGCACATCCCTTGCTGAGGTGGGAAAGGCAGGAGCACCAGGTCTTCTGTCCTGAGGACTTACATAATGGGTGGGATAGGGGTGAAGAAGTTACATATTGATTGACCGGTAAGAGTGGTGCCAGCTTCCATGGGGGACATGACTATGCAAACATAGGTATGTGTGTGTGTGTGTGTGTGGGGGGGGTCTGTTAGCCTGAATCCTTATCTTGCTTCTGACCCCACTTGGTCATCTCGTAAAATAGATCCATGACAGGAGTTAAAGTTGAGGCGGTTACCCAAAGTTACCAAAGGTCTCTTTCTGTAAGCACTAGGGACCCTCTCATAAAAGATAGTGGACAGAGGTAAGGAATTAACCAGATTTGTTTTACGGGTCTTTCCGTGAGTGCTGTAGACACCCTTCCATCTTCTAGGCCTTGGGATGAATACAGTTTGAAACCCTTTCTTTCCCAGATAGTGGAAACAATACCTAGAATTTCAACGTGTTAGCATGGTGTTTCTTGTGATGCTAGAACATCTGACAAAGGAATTGGACCAGGCACAGGACTAGAGTCATTGGGTGACACCCATCTTCCTCTTCCTTGTCCTCCTTGCCTTGGCTCACCATCTACCCTAACACCCCAGTGCAGGCAGGTGCTGTTCCCAGTGTCAGTTCTCAGCAAGGGGTGGGTGAGGGTCTTGTTTCACAGGCCACTCTCAGCACCACCTGCCTGTGTTGAGGAGGCTCTGAGGATGCCCAGACTTTAGTGAGAGGGTGGTGATCAGGAGGGAGGCACATCCCTAACCTCACCTTCCTTCTTAGGGCAGCTCAGTCTATGTGGGGAAAGCAGTGGTGTCTGCTCAAATTCTGAATTTGGTTAGACCCCACTTGTTCAGCCAGGCTCATGTCCATGCACAAGCATCCATCTCTCCCTGCCATTCACCTCTGATGCTCCAGAGGTTGTAGGAAACCAGAAGAGCCGAGAGAAGGCAAGGGAGAAGTATGGAGCTGATTAGGAGAAAGGCCCTTTCCAGGAGTCTGGGGAATTCCCTTCCTGGGTGAGTCTGTCTCAAATCCCTCTCTTTAGGGAGTAACAAAAGTAGACTGATTCCACATTTACACATTTGCAGGAGTTGAATTTCTGTGGCTGAGAGAATGAGTTCTTTGTGGCTCTTTAGGAATCCTCTGCTTTCAGTGATGGGGAAAATGAGAGATGTGTATGGAGACAAAACGTTTTAGAATAGGTCAAAGAACCATGAAGGAGTTTGGTGCTGACATCCCCATATTACTATGGAACTGTTTGTCCATTTCATCTCTTGTAATGAAACTGGAAGGTTTGTTTAACCAGTTACTTCTATACTAATTACAATCTTGGGGAGAGTAAGGGGCTGTGACTTCCTATGGCTATTGATACGTGACTTAATGCTAATGACTCACTCACTCAACCTGCAAACATAGAGCTTCTCCCCAGAGTGTGTCCTCTGGTGTCTGATGAGATTTGTCTTGCATATAAAGCCTCGCCCGCACTCTCTGCAAACATAGGGCTTCTCCCCAGAGTGTGTCCTCTGGTGTCTGATGAGATCTGACTTCCATGTAAAGCCTCGCCCGCACTCCCTGCAAACATAGGGCTTCTCCCCAGAGTGTGTCCTCTGGTGTGTGATGAGATCTGACTGCTGTGTAAAGCCTTGCCCACACTCCCTGCAAACATAGAGCTTCTCCCCAGAGTGTGTCCTCTGGTGTCTGATGAGATGTGACTTGCATGTAAAGCCTCGCCCGCACTCCCTGCAAACATAGGGCTTCTCCCCAGAGTGTGTCCTCTGGTGTCCTATGAGATGTGACTTGCATGTAAAGCCTCGCCCGCACTCCCTGCAAACATAGGGCTTCTCCCCAGAGTGTGTCCTCTGGTGTGTGATGAGATCTGACTTGCATGAAAAGCCTCGCCTGCACTCCCTGCAAACATAGAGCTTCTCCCCAGAGTGTGTCCTCTGGTGTCTGATGAGACGTGACTTCCATGTAAAGCCTCGCCCACACTCCCTGCAAACATGGGGCTTCTCCCCAGAGTGTATCCTCTGGTGTGTGATGAGATCTGACTGCTGTGTAAAGCCTCTCCCACACTCCCTGCAAACATAGGGCTTCTCCCCAGAGTGTGTCCTCTGGTGTCTGATGAGAGTTGTCTTGCGTGTAAAGCCTCGCCCGCACTCCCTGCAAACATAGGGCTTCTCCCCAGAGTGTGTCCTCTGGTGTGTGATGAGATCTGACTTGCATGAAAAGCCTCGCCTGCACTCCCTGCAAACATAGGGCTTCTCCCCAGAATGTGTCCTCTGGTGTCTGATGAGAGTTGTCTTGTGTGTAAAGCCTCGCCCACACTCCCTGCAAACATAGGGCTTCTCCCCAGAGTGTGTCCTCTGGTGTCTGATGAGATGTGACTTGCATGTAAAGCCTCGCCCGCACTCCCTGCAAACATAGGGCTTCTCCCCAGAGTGTGTCCTCTGGTGTGTGATGAGAGTTGTCTTGTGTGTAAAGCCTCTCCCACACTCCCTGCAAACATAGGGCTTCTCCCCAGAGTGTGTCCTCTGGTGTCTGATGAGATTTCTCTTGCATGTAAAGCCTCGCCCGCACTCCCTGCAAACATAGGGCTTCTCCCCAGAGTGTGTCCCCTGATGTGTGATGAGATGTGACCCATCACTGATGCCTTGCCTACACCCTCCATGCTCGATTGTTACAATTTGTGACATTCCTACTTCCACAAAAAACTTGCCTGTGTCCTCCGGACTCTCTTTCTGGCCTCTCTGGGGCTCTTCTTCCATCAGTCTCTCATGCTCACTAGAGCTCATTTGTTCTTTGAAAGGTTGGAAAAAGGGTTTTGAGATTCTCCTCTGACTGATCCTTTTAAGCAGAGGTTTGGACTTTTCTTTGACCTCTTGACCTTCAGCTTTATTCCAGCTGTGCGTACTAGGATGTTGCTGCTGCTGATTCTGATCCTCCGGACAGGGTTCCTCTGCTTGGAGGTGTTTTCTTGCAGATGTTCCTGGGAGAATCTGAGAGGGATGACTGAGTTTCACGTGGTGGCTGAGGAAGTTCTGACTGGAGAAGGCCAGAGAGCAGGAGGGACATGGGTGCACCTCTGGCTTTGGTTCTGCTGAAAGAGAAAGGTTTGGTCAGGGCAGATGTTGACAATGCCTGGGCTGTATGATTAGTCTTCTGGTAGGACCTGCCCCGTGAGTCCTTCTTACTGTGGTGACGACACAACCTCTGTCTCCCAGTGTCCACTCACCGCCTATTTTCCTGTTTATTTTTATGCAGTGCATCTTCCTCAGAAATACAGAAAGCCCATATCAAGGGTCTTTTCTAATGTTGCCCGGACTAGAGACTTTTGAAGATCACGAGAGGCCATTTCACTCCCTGTGTGGATCGAACTGCAGTGACCTTTCCCACCTGTAGGTATCTTCCAAGTCATGTTAAAGGGGAAAACCACAGGCCCCAACTAGGAATCACTTCTCTGTTTTCCAAAATAGTAAAATGAAATTTGCTTCCTCCAGCCTCACACCAAATATTTATTTATGCTTTATCTCATTTAGTGTTAAGACTATTTCAAATGCACTAAGAAGACCTGTTTCAAAATATTTCAACCACATTTCTTACACACCCGACTCCTGTTCCTCTCTGGCCAATCCACCATGCTCTATCACCTGGAGATGAAGTAATCTGAGGGGATTCCCCACTGGTTAATTTTCTAAAAATTAACAAAACAGAAGAGAGAACACACCACTCTACAGCTGACAACTGCACACTTTCACTCAGGAGAGTCCCCAGTGTCTCAACTCGGGTCATCAGCACTGCATGTCCGGGCTGCTAAGCATCCGTCTGATGTCTGTTTTTACCCTCTGTGCTGAGACGAGACCTGAGTGACCCTCAGCCAATTCAATGCTGCACCTCTTTTCTTCCCTGGACTAGCTGCTCCCTCTGCCTGGGATCCTCTGGCCACAGGTATTTTTGTAAATGTTGTCTCCTGAGAGAGCCCTTCCTGGACCACCTGCCACACGCCTCCCCTCACACTGATCCCCAGGCACTTGTCCCAGATTAGTTTTCTCCAAAGCACTAACCGCTGTGTGGTGTCATGCACATGCAAGCTTGTGTGCCTGGGTTTCTCTCCTTCACCCATCAGCTCCTCAAGAGCAGTGATTCTGATCCTCACATCAACCTGTATATCCAGGTCCCAGGACACCATGCACCACAGAGTAGGATCTCTCATGATAATTCATTGAAATGATGAACGAATGTGCCCTGCCTGAATGGTGTGGCCTGGTGGGTTGGGTGTTTTCTGAAAACTGAAAGGTTACAAGTGCAATACCCAGTCAGGGCACATGCCAGGGTTGTGGGCCAGTTGGGGGTGTGCCAGAGACGACCGGTTAATGTTTCCCTTGCACATTGATTTTTTTTTCTCCCTCCTTTCCACTCTATGTAAAAATAAATAAAATCTTGTTTAAAAATTTTTATATATGTATTTATTTTCATAAAAGGGGGAAGGGATGGAGGGAGAAAGAGAGAAACATCAATGTGTGGTTGCCAAAGCCCAGGAATATGCCCCAACTGGAATCAAACTGGTGACCCTTTAATACACAGGCCAGTGTCCATCCAGTGTCCATCCTCTGAGCCACACCAGCCAGGACAAAAATCTTTAAACAAAAATGTTTTATTTAGAAGTATGGAGGAAAATTCAGAAGAAACAACTATAAAAGTGTCAGAAAAACTGAAAAAACTGCCGTGGTGAGAGAACTGGTTAGTGCTTGTAAACTGCTCTTGGACTTCCACCAAGATGGAGGCAAGTGAATGGTGCCCTAAATAAAGTGTAGGAGGGTTAGAGAAAGGCCTCTCAAGAGAAAACACATGTGGGCTGAGTACTGGATAATTAGTGAGCTAATTCAGAAGCAGAGCCCTAGATCAAACACCAGGTTCTGTGATGTGAGACAACTTGATTTAGAGGTTGGAGAAGCCAGTATCACTGGACATTATGGCCAGTCATGGTGGAGGTTAAGTCTAGAACTGGGTGTTAGAAAGTAGTATTAGGCAGGATGAACACTGCAAACAAGACTCGGACGTAAGGATTCACATGACATGCTGGCAGACGCTCAGACACTGAACAGAAGGTTCCCTGAGAGCATTAGGGGCCGTGGGCAGCACCAGAGCCTGAGGGCCTTCAGAATCAGTGAGGGGCTGGACATGGATGTAACAGGTAGTGGGAACTCATCACTGGTTTTCTTTCCCTTCCTCTGCCTCAATTCCAGGTTTGTGAACTGTGCCCGTGATGATGAAGAGCAGAACCTGGTGGCCTTTCAATACCATGGGGAGATTTTCTACCGAACCTGCCGGGTCGTCAGACCAGGATGTGAGCTGCTGGTCTGGTGCGGGGAGGAGTATGGCCAGGAGCTGGGCAGCAAGTGGGGCAGCAAGTGGAAGAGAGAGCTTGCGGCCTGGAGAGGTGGGCACCACTGTTCTTCAAAACAGAGAGAATTCTCCATAGAAACATTTGTGATCCAACTCTTAAGTGGAGTACAGTCCACTCTAAAGTCAGTCAAGTTTCAAATCAGATGCTTCAGAAATTCACAGTTCATTCATATGCCTTTGATTCTTAGACAAATATTTTATATATGTTTTATTTTTTATATATTTCATGCCCGAAATAAACAACTGCAAATAGTGCTGAAAGGCTGAGAGGCAAAATAAGAGCAGTTTTTTTTTTGTTTTTTTTTTAATTTTTTAATTGATTTTGCTGTTACAGTTGTTCTATTCCCCCCTTCATTCCCCTCCACACTACCCCCCCATCCCCACCATTACCCCCCTTTAGTTTATGACCATGTGTCTCAAGTTCTTTAGATTCTATATTTCCCATGCTATTCTTGCCCCCCATCTATTTTCTACCTACTGTCTATGCTACTTATTTTCTGTACCTTCTCCCCCCTTCTCCTCCTCCCACTCCCCTCTTGCTAACCCTCCATGTGATCTTCATTTCTATGGTTCTGCTCCTGATCTAGCTGTCCTTTTAGTTTGCTTTTGTTTTAGGTGTGGTTGTTAATAACTGTGAGTTTGTTGTCCTTTCACTGTTCATGTTTCTTTAACTTCTTTTTCTTAGATAAGTCCCTTTAACATTTCATATAATAAGGGCTTGGTGATGATGAACTCCTTGAATTTGATCTTATCTGAGAAGCACTTTATCTGTCCTTCCATTCTAAATGAAAATTTTGCTGGATAGAGCAATCTTGGTTGTAGGTCTTTGGCTTTCATGACTTGGAATATTTCTTTCCAGCCCCTTCTTGCCTGTAAGGTCTCTTTTGAGAAATCCGCTGACAGTCTGATGGGGACTCCTTTGTAGGTGACTGTCCCCTTAGCTCTTGCTGCTTCTAGGATTCTCTCCTTCATTTTAATCTTGGCTAATGTAATGATGATGTGCCTTGGTGTGTTTCTTCTTGGGTCCAACTTCTTTGGGACTCTCTGAGCTTCCTGGATTTCCTGGAATTCTATTTCCTTTGCCAGATTGGGGAAATTCTCCTTTATTATTTGTTCAAATAAGTTTTCCACTGGTGGCTGTGCCTTTCCCCTTCTGGTACCCCTATAATTCGGATGTTGGAGCGTTTAAAGATGTCCTGGAGGTTCCTAAGACTCTCCTCATTTCTTTGAATTCTTGCTTCCTGACTCTTTTCTGTTTGGCCATTATTTGCTTTCTTCTGGTCCACTCCATTGATTTGAGTCCCAGTTTCCTTTTCATTGCTATTGGTGTCCTGTGCAATTCCATTCATTTCAATTAGTTTCGCCTTCATATATTTGTCTAATTTGTCAGTATAATCAACCAGTTCTGTGAGGATCCTGATGACCAGTGTTTTAAACTGTGCATCTGAGAGTTTTGCTATTTCTTCATCGCTTAGATCTATGGGCTCTGGGGCTTTGAGGTCTTCTTGTGCCATTTTTGGTCTGTTCTGGCCCTTTAAGTGTGAGAAGTGGTGCCTTGGACTCCCAGGTCGCTGGGTTGTGACGCTGTATGGGGGGCGTGGTCAGAGCGGGGAAATGGCGGCGCCCTCCACTGCCGCTAGCCACGGGGACCGCAGGGGCACCGGTCCAACCGCCCACTCCCTTGCCTGTCCGCTGGCGCACAAATGGGCGACCACAGTCAACACGCAGCACCGCTTCCCCGCTGTCTCCTTCGGGGTTGCTCGCCTGGTGGCTCGCTCGGTCGCTCACTAGGTCCAACCCTGCGCCTGGATTCCGCGTCTGGATTCCGCGCCTGAGCCCGTCTGACCGAGTCCTCCTGTGCAACCCCTCACCAGCTGCTGGTTTCACCCCTTACCGGTCAGGCTGAAGAATTTGTTGTTAACGGACTTCCGAAAAGTTCAATTTTCTGTGTTCTGGCTGTGTTTTCTGTTGCTAATATTTAGTTGTCTCTAAACTTGGTTGTGTGAGAAGGCACGGCACATCCACCTATGCCTCCATCTTGGTGGAAGTCCAAGAGCAGTTTTCAAGCATAACCAGCTCTGTCACCAAGACAGTTTTCTGACACTTTTATAGCTGTTTCTTCTTAACTTTCCTCCATACTTTAAATAAGACATTTTTGTTTATAGGCATTCATTATTTTTTAAATGTTTTTGTCCTGGCTAGTGTGGCTCTGGACTGAGCGCCGGCCTGTGAACCAAAAGATCACCAGTTTGATTACCAGTTGGGGTACACGCCTGGATTTCAGGCCAGGTCCCCAGTAGGGAACACGTGAGGCAACCACACATTTATATTTCTCTCCTCTTTCCCTCCCTTCCTCCTTTTCTGAAAATAAATAAATAAATCAGATATATTTTGTAAAGATTTTATTTATTTTTACAAACAGTGAAAAGGAGAAAAAAAATACGCAAGAGAGACATTAACCAGTTGTCTATGGCACACCCCCAGCTGGCTCCTAAACCTGGCATGTGCCCTGACTGGGAATTGAACTTGTAACCTTTCCATTTTGGGACAACCCGCAACCCACCGAGCCACACCATTCAGGCAGGGAGCATTCATTCATCATTTCAGTGAATTGTCATGAGAGATCCTACTCTGTGGTGCACAGGGTTCTGGGACCTGGAGATACAGATTAACATGAGGATCAGAATCCCTGCTCTTGAGGAGCTGACGGGTGAAGGAGGAAAACCCAGGCACACGTGCTTGCGTGTGCGTGACACTACACAGCAGTTAGTGCTTTGGAAAAAACTAATGCAGGACAAGGGCCCAAAGATCAGTGTGAGGGGAGGTGCAGTGTGGCAGGTGGTCTGGGAAGGGCTCTCTCAGGAGACAACATTTACAAAATTACCTGGGGGCAGAGGGAGCAGCTAGAGCAGGAAAGAAAAGAGGTGCGGTGTTGACTTGGCTGAGGGTCACTTGGGTCTTGTCTCAGCACAGAGGGTAAGGACAGAGATCAGACAGATGCTTAGCTGCCCAGAAATGCAGTGCCGATGATCCGAGTTGAGACACTGGGACTTTCCTGAGTAAAGTGTGCAGTTGTCAGCTGTAGAGTGGTGTGTTCTCTATTCTGATGATGTTTTGTTAATGTTTATAAAATAAACTCCAGTGGGGAATCCCCGCAGAGATTACCTCGTCTCCGGGTGAGAGCGCATGGTGGATTGGCCAGAGAGGAACAGGAGTCAGGCGTGATAAGAAGTGTGGTTGCAGAAATATTATGAAACGTCTTCTTAGTGTGTTTGAAGTGGATTAACTCTGCCCTCACAGGACACACTCAGAAGAGAGCCGTATGTTTGCAGGGAGTGTGGGCGAGGCTTTACACAGAGGTCACTTCTCGTCAGACACCAGAGGAATGAGATGAAGGATAAATATTTAGGCTTGAGGCAGAACATTTTTAGAGGGGAAGAGGGAGAAAGGGAAATATCAATGTGTGGTTGCCTCTCACACCCCCTGCTGAGGACCTGGCCCACAACCCAGACACGTGCCCTGACTGGGAATGAAACCTGCGACTCCTTGCTTTGCAGGCTGCCACTCAATCCACTGAGCCACATGAGCAAGGGCAGGGAGGACATTTTACTTTACTGTTTTGGAAAACAGAGAGAAACAATTCCTGGGGGCCCGTGGTTTTCCTCTTTACCATGACTTAGAAGATAACTACAGATGGGAAAGGTCACTGCAGTTCCGTCCACACAGGGAGTAAAATGGCCTCTCATTCTCCTCGAAAGTCCCTACTCTGGGCAATGTTAGAAAATACCGTTGATGTGGGCTTTCTGGATTTCTGAGGAAGAGGCACTGCATTAAAATAGAAAGGAAAATAGATGGTGAGTGGACACTGTAGGAGACAGATCGTGTTACCACCACAGTAAGAAGGATTCCTGGGGCAGTTGTTACCAGGAGACTAATTACGGCCGTTACTCTCATCAACATCTGCCCTGACCAAACCTTTCTCTTTCAGCAGAACCAAAGCCAGAGGTGCACCCATGTCCCTCCAGCTCTCTGGCCTTCTCCAGTCAGAACTTCCTCAGCCAACATGTGAAACTCAATCATCCCTCTCAGATTCTCCCAGGAACATCTGCAAGAAAACGCCTCCAAGCAGAGGAACCCTGTCCAGAGGATCAGAATCAGCAGGAGCAACATACTAGTACGCACAGCTGGAATGATAAAAGTGAAGGTCAAGAGGTCAAAGAAAGGTCCAAACCTTTGCTAAAAAGGATCAGTCAGAGGAGAATCTCAAGACCCTTTCAACCTTCCAAGGAACAAATGAGGAGCTCTAGTGAGCACAAGAGAATGATGGAGGAAGAGCCCCGCAGAGGCCAGAAAGACTGTCCAGAGGACACAGGCAAGTTCTTTGTGGAAGTAGGAATGTCAAGAATTACAACAATCGAGCATGGAGGGTATTGGCAAGGCTTCAGTGATGGGTCACATCTCATCACACACCAGAGGACACACTCTGGGGAGAAGCCCTGTGTTTGCAGGCAGTGCGGACGAGGCTTTACCTGGAAGTCACATCTCATCACACACCAGAGGACACACTCTGGGGAGAAGCCCTATGTTTGCAAGGAGTGTGGGCGAGGCTTTACATGCAAGTCAAATCTCATCACACACCAGAGGACACACTCTGGTGAGAAGCCCTATGTTTGCAGGCAGTGCGGGCGAGGTTTTACATGCAAGTCACATCTCATCACACACCAGAGGACACACTCTGGGGAGAAGCCCTACGTTTGCAGGGAGTGTGGGAGAGGCTTTACATGCAAGTCAAATCTCATCACACACCAGAGGACACACTCTGGGGAGAAGCCCTATGTTTGCAGGGAATGTGGGCGAGGCTTTACACAGAAGTCATATCTCATCGCACACCAGAGGACACACTCAGGGGAGAAGCCCTATGTTTGCAGGGAGTGTGGGCGAGGCTTTACACAGAAGTCACATCTCATCACACACCAGAGGGCACACTCTGGGGAGAAGCCCTATGTTTGCAGGGAATGTGGACGAGGCTTTACATGCGAGTCAAATCTCATCACACACCAGAGGACACACTCTGGTGAGAAGCCCTATGTTTGCAGGGAGTGTGGACGAGGCTTTACATGCAAGTCAAATCTCATCACACACCAGAGGACACACTCTGGGGAGAAGCCCTATGGTTGCAGGCAGTGCGGACGAGGCTTTACCTGGAAGTCACATCTCATCACACACCAAAGGACACACTCTGGGGAGAAGCCCTATGTTTGCAGGGAGTGTGGGCGAGGCTTTGCACAGAAGTCAATTCTCATCAGACACCAGAGGACACACTCTGGGGAGAAGCCCTATGTTTGCAGGGAGTGCGGGCGAGGCTTTGCATGCAAGTCAAATCTCATCACACACCAGAGGACACACTCTGGGGAGAAGCCCTATGTTTGCAGGGAGTGCGGACGAGGCTTTACATGCAAGTCAAATCTCATCACACACCAGAGGACACACTCTGGTGAGAAGCCCTACGTTTGCAGGGAGTGTGGACGAGGTTTTACATGCAAGTCAAATCTCATCAGACACCAGAGGACACACTCTGGGGAGAAGCCCTATGTTTGCAGGGAGTGCGGGCGAGGCTTTGCATGCAAGTCACATCTCATCACACACCAGAGGACACATTCAAGGGAGAACCCCTATGTTTGCAGGTGGACTGAGTGACTCATTACCATTAAGTTGTGTATCAATAGCCATAGGAAGACTAGGGCCCCTTACTCTCCTCAAGATTGTAATTACTGCAGAAGCAACTTGTTAAACCCTCCACTTTCATGACAAGAAATGAGATGGGGATGTCAGCACCAGTCTCCTTCATGGCTTTTTGACCACCTATTGTAAAATGGTTTGTCTCCCTACATCCCTCATTCCCCCCATCACTGAAAGCAGAGGGTCCCGTAAGAGCCACAAGGGTCTCGTACTCTCAGCCACAGAAATTCAACTGCGAATGCATAAGTCTTTAGTCAATCTATTTTGGTTACTGCCCAGAGAGGGATTTGAGACAGATGCATCAGGGAAGGGAATTCCCCAGACTCCTCGGAAGTGAGGTCTTTTCTCCTAATAGGCTCCCTACCCTCCTCCCTTGGCTTCTCTTGGCTCTTCTGGTTTTCTACAACCTCTGGAGCTTCAGAGGTGTGAACAGCAGGGAAGAATGTGTGCTTGTGCATGGATGTGAACCTGGCTAAGAACAAGGTAAGGGTCTAACCAAATTCAGAATTTGAGCAGACCCCACTGCTTTCCCCACACAGACTGAACTGCCCTGAAAAGGAAGCGTGAGGTTGGGGAGGTGCCTCCCCCTGATCACCACCTTCTCACTGAGCCTGGGCATCCTCAGAGCCTCCTCAACACAGGCAGGTGGTGCTGAGAGTGAGCTGTGAAACAAGACCCTCACCCACCCCTTGCTGAGAACTGACAGGGAACAGCACCTGCCTGCACTGGGGTGTTAGGGTAGATGGTGAAGCAACGCAGGGAGGAAGAGGAAGATGTGTGTCACCCACTGACTCGGCAGTCCTGGCCTGGTCCAACTCCATTGCCAGATGTTCCAGCATCACAAGAAACACCATGCTAACACGTTGAAATTCTACCTATTGTTTCCACTATCTGGGAAAGAAAGGCTTTCAAACTGTATTCGTCCCAAGGTGTAGAAGATGGGAGAGGGTCTACAGCACTCAAGGAAAGGACCCATAAAACAAATTTGGTTAATAGCTTTCCTCTGTCCGCTATCTGTTTTATGAGAGGGTCTCTAGTGCTTACAGAAAGAGCCCATTGGTAACTTTGGGTAACTGCCTCAACTTGAACTGTCTCCTGTCATGGATCTATTTTATAATGTGGCCAAGTGGGGTCTGAAGCAAGATAAGGATTCAGGCTAACAGACCCCCCACCACCACACACATACCTATGTTTGCATAGTCATGTCCCCCATAGAAACTGGCACCACTTTTACCTGTCAATCAACATGTAACTTCTTCGCCCCTATCCCACCCATTACATAAATCCCCAGGACAAAAAACCTGATGCTCCTGCCTTTCCCACCTCAACAAGACCTGTCCTCTTCCATGAGAGCATGTCCCTAATAAACCCTGCTTGCACACTAATACACTTAATCTGTAATCCTTTACTGCGTTGGCAAGAAGGACTGAGTTTCTCCCGGGACAGGTGCACCCAGTCTGCATGTGGCATTCACGAAGCTCACAACACAGCAGCTTCTGTAATGCACTGTCCTTGTACCTGGGCCCCACAGGCCTTCATACACCACTGGCACCATCTCAAAATTATTATTTATTGCATCTTTAACCTGTTTGTGAAGTCCAATGGGATAATGGACATGCACAATGTTGGTCATTCCTGGCCACCCATCCACAGATAATCTCCACAAGAGCATAAAATTCCCATGGACTCCCAATAGGAGTCCAGCAAGACTCAGGGTGAGAACAGGGTAAACATCTACATCTGCATAAGCAAGGGTGCCCACAGCTCCCAAAGGTTGCACTTTTCTTAGAACCAGAGCTGAGTTCAATACAGAGAGACGGTGAACAATCAGTGAGGACCCCATAAGACGCTCTCCTGCATGAGGCAGACCTAAGCATGACCCACCCTGTTCCTGCTGGGGTGGGTTCACCAAAGGGGGACACGCACCCCCATGACCTGGAACGATGATCTTTCTGTCCTCCCAGTGCCAGGCTTTGAAGAGTGTCTACATAAACTACGTGGGTTGCAATAATAAATATCCACTATTTTATTTTTTATGTTTTTAAAGGAACGTGTGTGTCTTGTGTTTTGTTTTCCCTTCCCTGTTTCTTCCCCCACCACCACAGCCCAGAGAGAACACCAGAACCTCAACATTCTGTGGCTTTCAGCACGGGCCATGGGAAAGGGGCAGAGCCCTGGTGTAATCCTGGCAGAGGGGCTGGCACTGAATGCAATCGGGAGGGGAACCCACAGACTGCCAGGTGATGCTCACCCCTCCCAACCAAGAGAGACCCTGGAGCTCTCCCAGAAGGCTTAGCGATTCAAGATGAGTGGACAGATCTGTTCCCTCTCCCTCCCCTTTAACAGCAAACCACATTCTTAGTGTAGCTGCCAGCCTCCAAAGTGTCCCCCAAATCCACATGCTGTCACCCTGACCTTGTACAGTCCCTTCTTCATACAACCAGGCTGATCTGTGTTGTGAAAATGGTGCGTGGCTCTCAAAGCCAAGCCATAAACAGGCCCTTTTGTTTCAGCCTTCCTCTCACAGTTCCCATGGTATCAGACCACCTTGTGCAGGGAGCTGGGGGTTTGCACACCCCTCCTGCCCACCAGTCAGTGGCTGGCGGCCACCATCCTTGTTTTTAAGAGGAGGTTCCAAGAAGTGAGTGCACCCTGACATCTGGATTCTGAGTCTCTTGCCCTTGACAGGCAGCTGAAATCCCTGTCCTGTTCCCATGACACCTGGTGTACATCCAAGGTCACACTAAGCTGCACCTTTTGGCTTCCCGACTTCTGCACATGACACTGTGATCAACCTGAATAGGTCAACAGTCCTTGGGCAAAAAGGACATCAGTGGCTGAGGCAACAGGACACAATGGCCAATTGCTTCCATCACACATTTGACTCTGACTACAGTGGTCACCACAGCTGTGGCCAGTCCCACCTGGTTTATGTTCTGATGGTCTGCCACCCATGTAAGGGAGCTGTGGGCTGGCTTGGGGACCATAGCTGGGCTTTTGAGGGGGTTACTCACCAGAATGGTCAGCCACAAACACAGACCAGCTCACTGCCTTCCAAGCTGGGGCCAGGTAAGCCTTTCTGAAATTTGGCAGATTTGTCTTGACACCCAGACCCTTCCCTGTCTGTTGCTGGTCTGGCCCCTGGTCTGGCCTCAGTCCTAACTGCTCTGGAAAGTTCCTGACCCATCCTCTGAGAGCTGCCCTTGGGGTGGTATGTTACCCATAGATGCTGTCTTCAAATATCAAACTTCTTAAAAGTCACTAAAGAAACCTTTTTTATTTATTTTTATTTTTTAAATATATTTTATTAATTATGCCATTACAGTTGTTCTATTTCCCCCCTTCATTCCCCTCCACCCTTCACACCCCCTCCCCCACCATTTCCCCCCTTTAGTTTATGACCACGTGTCTCAAGTTCTTTAGATTCTGTATTTCCCCTACTATTCTTGCCCTCCCCCCTATCTATTTTCTATCTACCATCTATGCTACTTATTTTCTGTACCTTCTCCCCCCTTCTCCTTCTCCCCATCAGACTGTCAGTGGATTTCTCAAAAGAGACCTTACAGGCAAGAAGGGGCTGAAAAGAAGTATTCCAAGTCATGAAATCCAAAGACCTACAACCAAGATTGCTCTATCCAGCAAAGCTTTCATTTAAAATGGAAGGGCAGATAAAGTGCTTCTCAGATAAGGTCAAATTCAAGAAGTTCATCATCACCAAGCCCTTATTATAAGAAACCTTTTTTAAAAAATAATTTTTTAGTCTGGCTGGTGTAGCTCAGTGGATTAAGCATGGGCCTGCAAACCAGAGTATCAAGGTTCAATCCCCAATCAGGGCACATGCCTGGGTTGCAGGCCAGTTCCCAGCAGGGGACGCATGAGAGGCAACCATACATTCATATTGCTCTCCTTCCCTTCCCCTCTAAAGATAAATAAATAAATAAATCTTTTTTAAAAAAAATTTTGCATTATACAGTCAATTTATGACAAAGGAAACAAAAATATACAATTGGAAAAAAACAGTATCTTCAATAAATGGCATTGAAAAACTACACAGCTGCTTGCAAAGAATAAAATCAGAACCCCATGTTACCCCATACACAAAAATCAACCCAAATTGTACTAAATAGTTGAACATAAGATCTAAACTATAAAACTTGTACAAGAAACCATATGGAGCAAGCTCCTTGACAGTACTTTTTATTTACTTTTTTTTTAAATAATTTTTAACAGTAAGACATGGTTAATCTCATCACCTGGAGAAAACTACTGTCACATTGCGAAATTTGCCCTTTAAGATCTTTATGACTAACAAAGACAATTTTTTCTAACTCCTCACATTTCCTCACTTCTTGTTTTCTTTCAAGCTTTAACTATTTCTAGGTCATCTACACCAACAACCATGTAACGATCATTATTGCATGAGAGCATGTTTACCTTTGTAACTCATGAGAATCAACGAAAAACTACCACAAATAGAATCTAGTACAGTGATTGGAAAATAACATGCTTAAGTAAATATGTAGAAATAGTAAGTTAAAGATAAAATTCTTAAATGAAACTTGTTAGCAACAGAACAGGGTTTAAAATGAACCTGGAAATTACTTGAAAATACATAGGATGTGTGTGTGCAGAAAATTGGAAATTGCTTCCCAATAACAGAAACTTTAACAAATGAAAAATATCATCTCGTTCTTGGATTTAAGAAAAAACAAACAATGATACCCACTTACCGAAGTTCTCTATAATTGTAATAAATTTAGATTAATATAGAAAAGTGGCCCTACGGGAAGTAGTCAGTTAAATTGGGACCGGAGACATGTACCGCAGAAACAGTCTGGGCCCCCTCTCCTGCTCCCCACAGGGTGGCTGTGTCTGCCCCCACAGCCCCGTCACCTCATAGCCACCCCCCCCAACTCACCTCCTGTCCTTGGACTGCATTGCTTGCATGAGGTTAAGCT